TTTAACTTTCAAGCAACACTCAAAAATAAACGGTTAATCACTCAAAAATACAAAAAACACACAAAAACACTCAAAATGCCACCAGCACCAAAACGCCAGCGGGAACAAACGTCTACGGACCTGAAAGTATGGTGTGGTCCAACAATTGAAAGTTCGGGTTCTGGAGCTGGAGACCGAAGTTGGAGAAAGGCACGCACTGCGGGGACAGGTGGGCGAGATGGAGGTAAAACTGGCCGAGCAAGCAAATCAAAGCATTGCTTGTGACCTGCGGGTACACGGTGTTCCTCTTAGCCAGGAGGAGAATCTGAAAACTCAATTTCACTCACTGTGTTTTGCTTTAAAGCTCACACCGCCACCGAGAATTAAAGAAATTTTCCGCATCACACGGCACAACAAAAACGCTGCCACTGATCCAACTATAATTGTTAAACTGGAGCACGTGCGAGATAAGGCCGCTCTGTTGCGAGCAGTTGGCAATTATCGGCGGGAGCTTAAACAACCGCTAACCCTGCAGCTTTTGGGTATAAACTCTCAAGCTGCCTTCTACATTAACGAGCAGCTCTCAAGAGAGACGTATGAAATCTTTAAAGAGGCAATGCGCTTAAAAAAGCTCAAGTGTCTCTCTTCGGTTTTCACACGTGTGCCAGTAGTGCATGTAACTCAATCTGCGGGAGCGGAGGTAATGATGAGTGTGTACTGTTGTGTAATGTTGAACTGTCGAACATTAGTAAATGGGCCAACTGTAATGGATTGTCGCTAAACCCTGTCAAATCTAAATGTATTATTATATATAAAAGGTTGCTGAGCACGGAAAATCTGCCTAAATTATCAATAAATAACACGCTAATTGAATATGTGGATCAGGCTGTTAATCTTGGAATCACCATAAACAAGACATTGTCCTGGAGTGACCAAGTAACCAAGGCAGCCGGTAAAACGTATGGTATAATAAGACAACTTTCCTTGACTCGGCAATTTTTGCCAAAACAACTCAGACTCTTAATAGCCAAAACATATCTTATACCACGCTGTGTTATGGTATTGAAATTTTTGGAAATTGTGATAGGGCATCTCAGCACAGACTAAAAGTGGCATACAATAATGTAGCATAACACATATCCAGTTTGGCTGACAGCATCAATCAGATGAAGTTTGAAACTTGGAAAGACTACAGAACTTTAATAATGTTGCATAAAATCGTTTATACAAGAGAACCGAGCTATTTATATGAAAAGCTGCGTTTTGGTGTGTCTGCAAGAACCAACAATATTATTAATATTCGTTACAAGCTTGGCTGTTCCGAGCGGCAATTTTTTATACATGCTATTCGTCTGTGGAATCAGCTACCACAAAACCTAAAGAAAATTAGTAGTGCATCGCAATATAGGGAAAAATTAAATTTATACTTAAAAAACAATTAATAGTAATATATGTAAAAATAATAAAAACAGTAATAGTAAAATAAATATAATAAAACTACAAATTAAATAAATAAAAAATCAAAAAATTAACATACAAATATAAATAAATAGGCTAAGTAGGTTAATCATATCGACTCACACCCAAACAAAGAATTATTTTCTTTCACGTTTCATGTTTTGTGACTAGTGCATTAATTTATAAGAAACTTTCTTGTCGCACTAGGAAATAAGTAAATAAATAAATAGAAATAAACACGTGGCTTTGAAATTAGAGGATACTAGGACAGCAATCGGAAGTACGTGGACTACTTTTTACAAGCGACAAAACATCAACTCCAGCACGAAGCAAGAGCAATTACATGTTACACCGCGGGAGTATGGGGCTGCGATGCGTCAGAGGAGGTATAAAAAATCCAAAGGTATTTCATAAGAATAATGTTTTACCTACCACAAAATACGCCCGACTATACCATACATCTGGAAACTGGGCTTCCCTCTATGCTCACCATTACGCTCAGAATGTATTTTAAATATGTCAAAAAAGCTTTGGAAATGCACACAGGTACCCAAATATGGAACTGAAGAATTAAACGTTTTATTCGCAATGGAGCGCCCGGAAGAGTGGGAAAGACAACAAGCCTGCCTCATTCACGACAAATAGCTTGGGAAAACGACGCCCAGCAGAGTCGCTTAGAAAAACAGAGAAGATATATATTTTCAAGGCAAGAAATTAATTCTGAAATTACAGGCAATAAGTCAAAATAAACTACTGCTACTACTACTACACAAGTATAGGTACTCGTACCCTTGCTGTTTTTAATTTCTTCACAAATGAAAGCTTTTCGCATAAATAGTTTTTATAACCGTACTCGAAGAGTTAAGCGGTATATTGTATTTGTGGTAAAAGTGGATGTGTGCAACGCAGAGTCGGAAACGTTTCCGACCCCATAAAGCAGCGATGCCCAAAGTCAGCTTACGGCAGGGCACTCACCAATTCTCTCAAACAAAAACACAAATACGAATAAGGGAACAGTGAAATCTCGAAGAAAAAACAACAAAATCATAACAAAAGTCGGGTAACACCAATCAGAGAAGAGACAAACCCGGTTTTTGCTGGACGGATCATACACACAAAGTTGTTTGCATGTGTTGGGCTTTCGGTATGCTGGTACACAGCATAAGCTGTGTATGCATAAAAGAATTGGTTTCCTATGCTGAGGGCAATTACAAAAACAAAAGGGCTCGGAGGGCAATGGGCCTGGGCATCGCTGCCCTAAAGTATATATATTCTTGATCAGCATCAATAACCGAGTCGATATACATAGCTATGTCTGTTTGTCCGTCTTGTTTGTCTGTCTTGTTTGTCGCCTAGTTCTCAGATACTATAAAAGCTAGAACAACCAAATTTTGTTTCCAGACTCATGTGATATCACACTAAATGAATCAATCACCCTCTTCCGCCTTCCCAAAGGATGAAAATCTGTGGCATCCACAATTTTGAAGATACGAGAAAACAAGAAACGCATTATCGTAGAGAAAGACCGTATCTATAAGAATGCCGAATCTGGATCTCCGATCTGATTATTATAGACATAACGATGAAATTAATCTTCAGTGGCTACCCCCACCTCCTCCGCCACTACTTACGCTACTTATAGTCTTTATAGCACGCACACTAACAGATTTAGCAAAAAAAAATTTAAAATATAAAACATTTTAAATTTGGGACTTTAAAAATTGTATGTTTTTTGTATTTTTAGAGGAAATTTTTGTATATAACTTAAGTAAATTTCATCTGGGTGTATTGAACTTTGCAATTCTAAAAAGCTAATAAATGGCCCAACTGCCAGTGTAGTTCTAACATAAGTTTTCAAAAAATAATAGACTAAAACGGTTTTTAATGTTAAATGCGACTTTAGGAGGTTTGGTTAAACGGCTGCTGCTAAGCCGTGTCTCCAATATATTTAACTTTTCCAGAGTTTTTAACGTCAGAGTTTTCAAAAATGATAAATTTGACATTTGAAAGCTTTTTAGTGTTCAGGTCCAACTTTTAGCTGCATTTATCAGCTTTTGAGAATTGCGAAGTTCGATACAACCAGATTTATGATATTTAGTTCATTAAAAAATAAAAAAAAATTGTTTAATACATTTCGTTAATTTTTTAGTAAACATTTTTAAGGCCCCAAATCTATCAGAAAAAATCTTTTTGGTTCGATGAGCAAAAATGGTGCTGAATAGTAATATTTACTATCACCTGTAAATATTCTGAAAACTAAATTTTCATTTTTAATGTGTGATTTTTTAATTATTAATTTTCAAATTGACTTGTATTGTTCAATCAGGATATTAGTTTTCATAGACAAAGGAATCAGACAGACATGCCAAGCCCAACTTTATGTATGACCAAACCGATTTGATGTATTTGTGTACATTAGAGTGCCGAAAGACCAAAATTTTTTCAACTTAAGTCGGCCTGGTGATAGAAAGTGAAGAAAAACACGGGAAAACACAATTTTTCATTTTCGAAACTTTACTCAAAAACAAAAAAAAAAGACGATAGATCGCGAATTATATATATATTAAGCTGGGCCAAAATTTAACCAAAAAATTAATTTTTTGTTTTTTCAAGGGGATACCTCCCAATTCTTTCTTTGTTATTCAATAAAATTATAAAATTTGTTTCAAATTTTTAGTTTAATGTTTGGTTGTTGCTACAACGAAAATAAAATAAACATTTTTGGGTAAATATACATTAAAAAAAATTTAATTTTTCGGTTTTTTCAAATAATATTGAAACTTAGAAACTAGTTCATATAGAAAATAAGGTATTTAGATTTTTTTTAGTTTCTGTTAAAAAATTAACGGTTAGTGAAAATCAAGAAGTTTAGCTGAGGTTGATATATTTGGTTAACTAGCTCGCAAAAACTTATGCAGGAACATTCAGCAACAAATTTTTTTCTGAATTTTCTTGATTAACATTTTTTGTAAAATTCGGTAGCAACCACTAAAAATAAAAAAAAAAAATCATGTAAATTACTATTAGATCCAAGGTAAAAAAACTATTTGTTATGCCGTTTGAATTTCGAAAAAAATATTTTTTGGCCCAGCCTAATATATATATACATATGTACATATATATATACTATTTTTCCCAATTTTAACTAAAATAAAAATAAAAATATATAAATATATAAAATATAATATAAACGACAAACTAATTTTACAATATTTTTGCAAAACGATTCGATTCCAAAATCTGCGATAAAAAAGCGCAAAAGATGCTGTTCTTAATCAAGTGAGCCAAAAAAAAGTTCATATATTTGTAGAGCTTTACAATAAAACGGAATTTAAAAAAACGGTAATCGATTTTGTCTTCATTTTAGTTGTAAACAGAGCTTAAAATAGAATCTATGCCCTAGTAGTTAAAGGAGATTCGTAAAATCAAAACGTACAAAAAATAGCGGTGTACCTTATCAATTGAGCGGCAGTGTACATCCGTATAATGTTCATTTATTTTAAAGAAGTGTCATGCGGTACGTTATATATATAAATACGGCGGAAAACAAATGTAAAACTTACATCAAGCTAGATGGTTCTGGCACCTTTTGGGAATGTGTTTCTAGATAACCCGTTTCTGCAAATTGGACGAAATCTTCTGGACGATACGTTTTGGTTATATAACGATACATTTTTCCTTGACGTATGCTGAAAGAATTTAATTTTTATATTTTTGAGACATTTTTATGAATATTACTTACAAAATGAATTCGGGAGATTCCAAAATTCCCAGTCGTATTGCTGTTGAAATTCCTGTCTCCAATCTATTCATTCGAGCGATATTAAACTTCCGCCTGAGCTTTCCACCTACAGATTCCCAAATAGCATACAAGCGTTGGCAGAGAACACATTCCGTGGAATAGCTATATATAAGAAAAGGATGTATATTTACTTTATTTATAATCGCTAATACTGCAAAAAAAACTTACTTCGACTCGTTTAATGGTTCTACAATATAGCGGTTCGTTAGCTTCGGCGCGCCGAAGCTAGTTTATAAACTCTTCAAATCGGAAAACAACTAAGTCTTAAGAACAGGTTAGGATGCGAGCTTGATATTCTACACTCAACATATGTATGTATATATGGGCGAGCGAGAAAGAGAATGAGTAGCGTGGTCTCGTGCGGAGGAGGTGGGGGAAGCAACTGAAAATTAATTTCTTCATTCTGGCTATAATATTGATCCGATCTGATCCAGGTTTGGCAATCTGGTAGATATGGTCATTCTCTACTATACTGCATTTTAGTGTTAGTATCTTTAAAATTGTGCCTACCACAGATTTTCGTCTTTTCACTTTATTCAGTATGATATCACGAGTCTGAAAAAAAAATTAAATTGCTGTAGCTCTTATAGTCTCTGAGAGCTAGGCGCTCATCAAGACGGACGCACGGACGGACAGGCAGACATGGCTATATCGACTCGCTTATTGATGCTGATCAAGAATATATACTTTATGGGATAGATAGACAGATAGACCTATCCGATTCGCAGAGTTTTGCCATTTTGTACCCCAACTTCGAAAACCACTTCTGTGTTATGTAACGAAATTTTAGGCTTATATCTTTAAAACCGTATGCTCGATTATTCACATTTTTTTTTCGTGAATATAGGGCTAACCAATGATATGTATACATGTATGTGAGTGAGGTTATGATTTATGTGGAATCGTTGTTTAACAATACTTTAATAATTTATTTAACATATTCAAGCTTTTAAAGTTTCGTTTTTGGTCATTTGGTGCCGGTATCATGGGGCGTGGCAAACACTTTAGAGCGGAAAAGCGTTCGTGCTTGAAGGGCTTGTTTCAGTAGGAAAATAATATTTCGAGATGCTATATACTGTTGGTTTTTTAGCTATTATGATCAGAAATGATAATAAATAAGAAACATAAAGCAAAACACGCGATCAACGAAGTTATTCGTCAAAATATCAGTAGATCAACCATTACGACAGGCAAGGTTACACAATTTTGCTGCTTCTACAGCCTTAAAAAAAATGTTTAATGTTGAAACTAGTAGCGAATACCCACATTGTTTGGGCGAGATTTTCCAGCTGCGGAATTTGACTATTATATGTGTTAAAAACATATTGGATCGTCATTCATTCATTCAAATATCGACCGAAATGATTCTGCCTTATGCATCTGAGGATATGCAACTTTTTTGGACGTCCCAGGAGGACAAAGATCCGAAGGACAGCCGCAAAGTTGCCAAAGAGGGATTCGCTGCCAATAGAGTAAATTCATTGGAATGGTCAGATCGATCACCCGATCTCAATATAATAGAGAATTTATAATGTTAAGTGAAAGGAGAAGTCTCATAAACGTTTTACAAAAGTCCTAGAGGACGTATTCTGTGGAAAGGTACAAAATTTAGTTAGCTCCATGCCAAAGCGTAGTGCAAACGGAGATGCTAACATAGGCTAAATAAATCTTAAAGCTAACTGTGAATATACAGTTGTTGTATTGGATATAAAGAACATTCCAAGAAAATTTTGTTATGAAAATTTTCACTACTATTATTTTGACCAACCCGTTTTCGAGGTACTTCAACATTTTCATTTTTTTCTGAAAATGGTTTATTCTGAGTTGTTTTCTATTATTAAAATCTGCAATTAAGGTTGTCTCTAAAAAAACTAAAATTATTATTATTCTAAATCTCCTCCGCCAGAGTGTGGCGAGAAAGAATTAGTAGCGCTGTATCGATGGAAGGGGATGGGGTAGCCACTGAAAATTAATTTCTTCATTCTGGCTATAATAGATTTGCCAATCTGATAGATATGGTAATTTTTTACGATACTTTTCATTTTCTTGGCCGAGCTTGGGCTTTTGAAGCAGCTGACAATCGCACATTAGACTGTGTTTCCCCCGGTGTGTCTTTGACCAGGAAATAATAAATTATTGCTAACTTATGATTATTGGGCAACAATTGTGGAATGGGGTAAGTAGGTCGAAGCTTAGTGCTTCGTTGACAATTGCATAGTGTATCGGTACAGTTGGGGAAGTGTTTTGCTTACACTTCATCGCGGCAGGTGATGGATGAAGTTGGGGGATTGGGCTTCGGATTAGTATTTGCTGAATCTGCATCGCGGAAGGTAGTGACTGAATGTAGGTGAAAATAGGAGAATTTTGTGCTGTCTCCGCTGATTGCGAAATAACGCAAGAAGTATGGAACCGAGAATTTTGTGCTGTCTTCGCTGATTGCGAAATAACGAAAGAGGTGGGGTGTTTGAAATGGTGTGTGGACAAGAATGGGTAAAATCTATGGAAAGACGGCGGATATAAAATTGGTAGACCAACCCTCTGAAAATTACTTTTTACCGTTTTACTGTTGCTGGCCTACAAGGCAATGGTTGTTTTGACATTATTATACCCGTACTAAAAAACAATTAAGGGGTATATTGTATTTGTGGTTAAAGAGTATGGTTGCAACGCAGAGAAGGAAACGTTTCCGACCCCATAAAATATATATATTCTTGATCAGCATCAATAGATGAGTCGATATAGCCATTTCTGTATGTCCGTCTGTCTGTCCGTCTTGATGAGCTCCTAGATCTCAGAGAATATAAGAGCTAGAGCAACCAAATTTTGTTTTCAGACTCATGTGATATCACACTGCTACAAGTGTATTTCAAAGCTTCGCCCCGCCCACTTCCGCCACAACAAAGGACGAAAATCTGTGGCAGGCACAATTTTAAGGATGTGTGGACCTGCACTTGTGAGAATATAAAGGAAACATTTGACCTGAATAGGTATCCTACCTCATATAACGAAAAAAGTAACTGTCAACAACATTTAATGCCAAAGGAACACGTTCAGGTACCAAAAATGCAACCCTTTTTCGTTAGCTTTGTTCCCAATTGGCAGTTGGGCCCGAAACCTTCCAAAAGGTAATTTTTGTTATATTTTTTCATTTTTTAGGTTTGGTTAACGAATTTTAGCTCCAAAGTCTCTCCATAGATTTTAATAAGCGATACCTTAAACGACGCCAAATGTATGCACCTATACACAAAAAAATAGAAGACACAGAATATAATTCGACTTTTCCTGAGTTTTTAAAGTCAAAATTTCGTAAAAAATACCGCACAAAATCATCATTTTTGCATTTCAATGCTTTATATTTCCCAGCCGGTAAGCTGAAATCACAAAGTGTTTGGGCTTAACTTCTAGCTGTTTTAATTAAATTTTCAAAATAGCAAAGTTCTTTACAACCAGACGTAAGATACTAGAGTTATGTGAAAAAAACGCTACCTCTGAAAAAAGCTTTAAAAAAAATACCAGACATCAAAAATTCTTCAAAAAAAATTTCTGCCATAGAAAAAAAACCATAATTCTTAAAAAAAAAATTTAAAGCCCCATATCTATCAGAAAAAGTCCGTTTGGATCTTTGAGGAAAATAAAAGTTCGATTTTGTCGAGTAGTGTAATTATATGGATATTATAATACATTATTTTTATTCATTTTCATAAATATAAAACAAATATTGTTTTCAAAACATTTTTTCTTCACGGTGTCCGGCACATGAGGCGACATGAGACACATTACCTTGCCAATAAAATATTGGGGAGCCCAGGATATGCCTGGGGAAGAGCGGCCTCAGCCGAAGAAGTGCATTTTATTAACTTTAAACAAAACCAAGCAGCGGTCTGAGCAGTATAACCGTTCGGAATGCAGTGCAAACCTCTACACCACTGGCCGCTCGAAGAATATATGACATTTGTTTGATGGCAAACAGTACTAAGTACAAACAGTACTAAGTACAAACAGTACTAGGCTTTAATCATAAGCTAAAAGTAGAGTCGCGTCCCCAGAAGCGACTCACACGTTCCTTCTCGTTTAATTTGACATTTAGCAAAATAGGAATTACATACCAAGTAAACAAACATTGTGATATATGTATAAGGATGGGGTAAATTTACTAAAATCATAGTACTGTTAACATTCATTTATTAGTATCTTATTTTGTTAAAAAAAAGATGTCGCTAACAAGTTCATATCTGAAAATAAAACCATACTCTACGAACAAATTTTTTAACTGTGACATTCGTCTTTTTGTTGATTCTGGCAACAATTCGTCAGGATCTCAAATTGCATTGACGGTTGCATCCTCTTGAATTGCTGCCACATTGTTCGAAGGCGGTCGAACTGCACATTCCGCTTTGAAGCTGCCGGTAAATATTCTCACGGTTGACCAGCCAACGTGCACAGTCCCAAAGAACTCGGCTACACCCTGATGTTGTCATTTATGTAGCATCTCCGTTTTAATTGTCTTTGTTCATTTCGTATCTCTACTGATTAAGATTCATGCAATTGGGATATTCCCTAATGCACATTTTCGTTCGATTCGTTCGACTGTTCTTTAACCTTTACTATGTCGCATGAATCTTTCATTATTTGTTCGACGGTGCAAACTGGTCCCCTTGAGTCTAGCTGGTATTTTTGAGATTACGATTTTGGAACAATTTGTACGATTTGAAATTGTGTGCGCTCCGGTTTTCGTAACTTTTTCCTATCAATAGTGTTTCATTCCCAAATCTTTGTTTGGTTTGGAAATGGAAATATTTTAGTTAAATTAAATATTAAATATTTTGTGCTAATACTTTCGTGTGAATTAAAAATTGAAATAAAATAATAACAGGCAACATAATAACATATGACGCATTGCGCATCGCTATCCATATTTTGGATAAAGAAAAGGTTTTGTTCCCAATTTTCATTAAACATGTTTTTTCTCAGTGTGGTCTTGCATTTTTCGACGGCTGAACGCAACTGATTTCATTTTCGTTCTCGCTTTGTGGAAAAAGCGAGACAACAAGAACCGAAGTCTCATTGCCGAAGCCACACAAAGGCTTTTTTACGATTTGACTGTCAAATCATATTTTTTTGCGATTTGCGATAGCCAGAGAATGGTTGTATGTCACAAAACACACTGAAAACTTAATCAAGACACTACGTGTTCAAAAAAAATTAGACATGGTTATGTCACAGAACACACTGACAGCTAAATCAAAGCAATACTTTTAGTCAAAAAACACTAAAATCGCGATAAAATATGAAAATCCAAACTATGCGCAGACCTACTTAATATACGACAAAAATTTCATGAAAATCGGTCCAGCCTTTTGGGAGGAGTTCAGTCACAAACAACGTGACACGAGATTTATATATATAAATACATAGATAAAATATTACATTACAATACAATCAATAAAATGTGTTTATATATGTATGTAGATTAGGGCGGCGCTTATTTTCGAAATTTCTGAATTTCAAAGGTCTCAGGGTCTTAAAATGTTCCTTTGGTTATGAAACAATAAAATAAAAATAAAAATTTTTGGAGAAGAGTTATATTCTTATATTTTAAATCATATAAAAAATCAGTCCGATCAGAGCGATATAAGGTATACCTTCCATACAAACATTGTCAAAATATCGTGTTTTTTATACCCGTACTCAAAAAAGAGTTAAGGGGTATATTAGATTTGTGGTAAAAGTGGATGTGTGTAACGCAGAGAAGGAAACGTTTCCGACCCCATAAAGTATATATATTTTTGATCAGCATCAATAGCCGAGTCGATATAGCCATGTCTGTCTGTCCTGTCTGTCTGTCTGTCCGTCTTGTTGAGCGCCTAGATCTCAGAGACTATAAGAGCTAGGGCAACCAAATTTGGTTTCCACACTCATGTGATATCACACTGCTACAAGTGTATTTCAAAATTTCGCCCCGCCCCCTTCCGCCACCACAAAGGACGAAAATCTGTGGCAAGCACATTTTTAAAGATACGATAAAACTAAAAACGCAGTATCTTAGAGAATGCCCATATCTACCAGATTGCCGAATCTGAATTAGATCAAATCATAATTATAGCCAGAATGACGAAATTAATTTTCAGTTGCTTCCCCTGCCCCCTCCAGCCAACGACCGTGCAACTCATTTTCCTTCTCGCTCGCACACTCTGCCGCGTTCAGTGCGCGAGCAACCCCTAGCGGAGGAGATGTGGAATCTAAATGGTACATGTTTAATCTACATGTTAGATGTAGAATATACATAATATGTAGATGTAGATAACAGATGTAAAAAAAAAATGTAAAATGTTAAATTTTTTTTTTGTAATTTTAAATTTTAAAAAATCATATGCTCAAAAATTTATATACGGACTGAGTACGGGTATAAGTAGAGTCGCGTCCCCAGAAGCGACTCGCACGTTCCTTCTAGTTTTTACTTTGACCTAAAGTCTGCACCTCTAAACGTATTCCAATCGGGCTAAAACTTTTTATTTTATTGTTTCATAACAAAAGGAACATTTTAAGACCCTAATACTCTCTGCACACTGAGTCCATCCTGGGGGAACGGTGGGAATTTTTGAAAGATGTGAAACAGCGATTCACATTGACACCATCCACCATCCATGAGAAACAGCTGTTGCTCACAATTGCGTGCGGTGAAAATTTGTTTACTTTAATTAAAATGAATATAAATAACATTTCAATGGTCGTGAATGTGATTCAGCAGCAAAACATATTCTTGCACAAGCTAATCATGTTGTTGGACATGGACGATGATGATGAGGATAACTTTGACGAGGAGATAATAGAATGGATATCTGTTTTGAAAACACTGAAGCCCGGAAGGTTGTGCTCTTTTGTGACTGCTTATACTAAATAAAAATATAAATTATACTGCTTATACTAAATAAAAATATAAATTATATGTGTGTTGAGAAGCGGTTTGGACATTTTGGGAGAAAGATGTACCCAAAAACAACGAGGCGTTTTTAAAGCTAAGTTATGTACAGCCGTATACTTTGGGCTCTTTGTTTTGAGTAAAGAATAGTCGGAAGGCTGTCAGCCTATAGCGTTGGCAATATCCTGCTTGAGTTTTGCAGAGCATTCATAAATGAGAGGATTCCAGAGGATAGACCACAAACAGAGTTGTGTATCTGAGACAATTTTGATAAATCAGATGTTTTGTTGTTGTTTTTTTCCCATTTTCCTGTCTGTCATTGTTTACATTTTCGTAGTGAATTCCGATTTTTTGTTGTGAATGTCAAATATTTATTGTTGCATTTGACAATTATCGAAAAAAATACCGCACTGAAACGTGAGAATTAGGAACATCCCAGATGGATGGTGGAATAACTGGGAAATTTTCGGAACGGCAAAACCTTACGGACCATCCTAGAAATGGATGGTGGATGGTCCCCAGTGTGAAAAGGCTATAAAACCTTTGAAATTCAGAAATTTCGAAAATAAGCGCCGCCCTAATGTACATATTTAAGTATATATTATGTTCATTAAATTATATGTAACTTAATGCTGAGGTACGAAAACTGTCTATGCTGATTTTAGTTTAGTACTTGTGTATCAAATTTGAAATCTTTTTTGCCATTTCTGGACTTCTGATCGAATGCAAAGGTGCACATCACACCTTGAATACCGTTATGGAAAATTTTTCGAATGTGAGCTCAATTATGATATACATTATTAATATACTAATTAATATTAATTTATATATTAATACCCGTTTATTCATTTTTATATTCTAGGTTCTAGCTAGGTTGCTGTCTCTCGGCTCCCGTCTCTGAGTGTTCTCCACGCAAACTTCACTGCGACCGTTTCTTTGTACAAACTGGCATCCATATACTGTATGGTTAGTGGTTCAGGTAAAGATGAAAGACCCCGATATGCTTCATCTCAACCAGAATTAATGAAGAAATTATTGTTGATAACACTACCCGACACGATTTTTCCTCAAGGAACAAAAACAACTTTTTCTTAAAGATTTGGGGCTTAGAAATGGTTTGATGATATTTTTTTTTTCTATGGCAGAACTTTTTTTTGAAGAATTTTTTAAATCTGGCATTTTTTTTAAGCTTTTTTCAGAGGTAGCGCTTGTTTTTTTCATATAACTGTAGTATCTTACGTCTGGTTGTAAAGAACTTTGCTATTTTGAAAAGATAATTAAAACAGCTAGAAGTTAAGCCCAAACACTTTGTGATTACAGCTTACCGTCTGGGAAATATAAAGCATTGAAATGCAAAAATTGATGATTTTTACCGCGATACTTTTTTCCGAAATTTTGACTTTAAATGAACAAGCCCTTTGACAGCCCTTTAAACCAATTGGGAACAAAGCAAACAACATTGTACAGGTAAAAATCGGTGCGGGCTAGTGTTATCAAAACAAAAATAATTTCTTGCATTCAACTATTTCCCTGGTATGAAATACAAAGGTTTGATCAACTTCTAGCTGTTTCAATTATCTTTTCAAAATAGCAAAGTTCTTTACAACCAGACGTAAGATACTACAGTTATGTGAAAAAAACAAGCGCTACCTCTGAAAAAAGCTTTAAAAAAATACCAGACTTCAAAAATTCTTCAAAAAAAAGTTCTGCCATAGAAAAAAAACCATAATTCTTTAAAAAAATTCAAAGCCCCATATCTATCAGAAAAAGTCGGTTTGGATCCTTGAGGAAAAAAAAAGTTCGATTTTGTCGAGTAGTATAATCATCATCAAACAGCATCACCAAGTTAACAAAGTTTTGTGGCAAGTTGTCTGGCCGTGAATAAAACCATAGTGCAAAGTTAGATTCAGAATCGGACTAGAATTGAATATCATATATAGCACCCATATTAACAATCCATCTAAAAAATAGTCGTGAGATACATATGTTTGCTTTGGATATAGCTCAACTAAAAAGGAGCCATTTGCTAATAAACTAATATTATTAATAAGGATTTATAAAACTCATTAATCATGCTTACAAAAAAATAAACCAGTCGCCCGTCGTGGCACCAGTTGAAGCTTGGGTAAGATGCTCAAAATTTTCATCAGATAACTCTTTAACTGCTGGTTCCTTATTATCATTAAAGAATTCAATAATTTGGTCTTCAATAATGTTTCCGTGGTATAGAATAGGAATTCCATTCCTAAAATATACAAGAGCAGGTTCCTTGGTCGGGTCGTATATTCCAACTAAATTACTGTCATGGGCCTGAACAACCATTGCTCCCAAAGCCTCCTTTAAATCACTTTGTATTGCAGAAACAGCAGTTTCATATTCCAAACACACTTCGCAGTTATTTTTGGCTAGAATGTACAGAAAATGTAAATTTTCTCAATACATATAGGTATAGGCTATAAAACTACGTACTATATTTATATATATATGTTCATAAATTTAAAGACTTCCTAAAGCCAAATTAATACATATACAGGCTGGCTCCGTTTGTCACATTCACTTTGAGTTTTATTTTTTTAGCAAAAAGTTATACTTTTCATTTCAAGGCGCTCTGGAAACCACTTGCGAATTTGTTTACTCTTTGTACTGTTAAGCGCCAAATTTACTGCTGTTATACCCACGCGTTAGTGCCAGCTCATACAAAAAGGCCTCTGTTATGTTTAAGAGAGATTTATCGCTAGCCAAATCGGCCTGCCATAGCTGTTCGGAGAAATTCACTATTTGTTTTTGCCCTGACCAATTTTTATACCCGTACTCAAAAAAGAGTTAAGGGGTATATTAGATTTGTGGTAAAAGTGGATGTGTGTAACGCAGAGAAGGAAACGTTTCCGACCCCATAAAGCAGCGATGCCCCGGCCCATTGCCCTCCGAGCCCTTTTGTTTTTGTAATTGCCCTCAGCATAGGAAACCAATTCTTTTATGCATGCACAGTTTATGCTGTATACCAGCATACCGAAAGCCCAACACATGCAAACAACTTTGTGTGTATGCGATCCGTCCAGCAAAAACCGGTTTTGTCTCTTCTCTGATTGGTGTTACCCGACTTTTGTTATGATTTTGTTGTTTTTTCTTCGAGTTTGCACGGTTCCCTTATTGGTATTTGTGTTTTTGTTTGGAGTATAGGTGAGTGCCTTGGGCAACCAATTTTGGCTTCCAGACTCATGTGATATCACACTGCTACAAGTCGTCCCACAAAGGACGAAAATCTGTGCACAATGTTAAAGATACGATAAAACTGAAAACGCAGTATCGTAAAGAATGACCATATCTACCAGATTGCCGAATCTGAATCAGATCGGATTATAATTATAGCCAGAATGAAGAATTTATTTTCAGTTGCTTTCCCCGCCTCCACCGCCAAGATACCCGCTACTCATTCTCTTTTTTGCTCGCACACTCGTTCAGTGCGCGAGCAACCCCTAGCGGAGGATATGTATAATCTAAATGGTACATGTATAATATACATGTTAGATGTAGAATATACATAGTATATGTAGATAACAAATGTAGCAAAAAAATGTAATATGTACAATTTTTTTTTTTAATTCTAAAATTCTAAAAAATCATAAGCTTAAAAATGTAAATACTGACTGAGTACGGGTATAAGTAGAGTCGCGTCCCCAGAAGCGACTTACACGTAATTTTGAGGTTGGTTTAAATAAAAATTATTGATAACGAGAAGGAACGTGTGAGTCGCTTCTGGGGACGCGACTCTACTTATACCCGTACTCAGTCAATATATACATTTTTAAACTTATGATTTTTTAGAATTTTAGAATTTAAAACAAATTTTACATTTTTTTTGCTACATCCACATCTACAATGAATATTATACATATACTTCGCTAGAGGGCGCTCGCGTACATAACGAGGCAGAGTGTGCGAGCGAGAAAGAGAATGAGTAGCGTTTCTGTAGGAGGCGGGGGAAGCAACTGAAAATTAATTTCTTCATTCTGTCTATAAATATGATCCGATCTGATTCAGATTCAGCAATCTGGTAGATATGGTCATCTTACGATACTGCGCAGTTTATCATCAAATTGTGCCGGACAGATTTTCGTCCTTTGTGGGGGCGGGGCGAAATTTTGAAATACACTTGTAGCAGTGTGATATCACATGAGTCTGGAAACCAAATTTATTGGCCCTAGCTCTTATAGTCTCTGAGATCCAGGCGACAAACAAGACGGACGGACGGACAGACATGGCTATATCGATTCGGCTATTGATGCTGATCAAGAATATATACTTTATGGGGTCGGAAACGTTTTCTTCTCTGCGTTACACACATCCACTTTTACCACAAATCTAATATACCATTTAACTTTTTTTGAGTACGGGTATAAAAACGAGAAGGAACGTGTGGACGCGACTCTACTTTTATAACGATACTCAGTCAGTATATAAATATCTGAGTTTATTATTTATGAATAATTTAAAAAATTGTATGTGTTACATATTTTGCTACATCTACAATATTGATTCCACACATTAAATGTAGATTCTACATCTTCTCCGCAAAGTTCGCGCACTGCACAGGGTAGAGCGTGTGCGAGCGAGAAAGAGAATAAGTAGTGTCAGCATCGATGAGAGGAAGTGGGGGAACTGAAAATTATTTTCTTCATTCTGGCTAATAAATTAATCCAATCATTATCAGATTCGGCATTCTGATAGATATAATCGTTCTCTACGATACTGCGTTTTTAGTTTTAACGTATCTTCCAAATTGTGGCTGCCACAGATTTTTAACCTTTGTGGGGGACGGCACATCGGCATAATATCTCTATTAGGGCAAAGTACTCAGTTACAAAAAGTGTTTGCTAGCAAATATGTGCCATCTATTTGGCTATCGGCTGAGTGTGACCAAGTGTGCATGACCCAACAAAACTAATCTTAATTAGAAAAGAAATAATTATATGACTTGTTGATGAATTAGCATATAATTAAAATCATTACCAGGGAAATTAAGCTTGTGCCTTTTTTATAAATAATTTTTTTTACCCAACCTCAAAGTTTGCTCTAAAATAGTGGGTCAATAATTTCCGTTTTAGTTCTAACAGCTTTCGAAGACAGATTGGCTATCGACACATCGGCATAAAATATCAATTAAAGCCTAGTACTCAGTTCCAAAAACTGTTTTCTAGCAAAAATTTGCCATATATTTACATGAACTACCCCGTTACACTGCTCAGTCAGCTATTTTTATACCCGTACTCGAAGAGTACGAGCCGTTGATTAAGAATTTTTTTTTTTCATTTTTAAAAAATCTCATCAAGTTACAAACTAGTTATAAAATGTTCATCTCCTGTGAAATCGACAATTTTTTTTATCGACTAACAAATAAATATAAATTTATAATTTCACCTATGCAAATATGCACTGACAACAAAGTTCAATTTTGACAATGTATTGTAAAGTTTATAGGAATCGTAGAACGATTAAAACTAAACTAAATTTTTGAAGCTTTCTTCAAGGTTTATTTCATGAATATATATTCCACGAGCTAATTTTGCAAACTGAAATGGCCGAAGGCTTGTGCGTCGGCGCACATCGTAAGTTATGCTTTTGCAGGTTATTGCAATTAAAAAAAATGAAATTCTTTTTAAAATTACTCTTCAAATAATAAATGACAACTTCGTAGGAAAGGTAAAAAGTTCTTATTTACGTTATTTTTCTAAGCTTACTTTAAAAGATATTAAAATAATTAAATAATAATCTGTCTAAATGAAAATATGTAGTACATACTATGTACATACATATTTCATAGGTGCGACCAAAACTAGATTTGTAGTATTCATGTGTTGTGTGCATACATAAATACATAAGTAAATGTGTACATACTAAATAAAACCACAAGGTTTTGTTCGACGTTTAACAGATGAATCAAGCCAGTATCGTCTACACGACGCAAGTCAGTGCAATTAACATTCCTTAGGCTGACGCCTAATACACTAAGAAGAATATACAGTAACATATCCAAGATTTCTAAAATGAATCGATCTGCACCTGCATACCTATCAACCAGTGGACTTATCGATAAAATATACAGTCAAACCCTCAGAAATATACTGATATATACCGTATCAATTTCAAAATATACGGTACATATTAAAAAGTAACAAAGTATTATTATTATACTGGGCTCCCCAATATTTTATTTGCAAGGTAATGTGTCTGACTATCAGCAGCAGCAGATGGCGACGTCTCCCGTGCCGACCACCGTGAAGACAAAATGTTTTGAAAACAATATTTGTTTTATATATATGAAAATTAATAAAAATAATATATTATAATATCCATATAATTTTCATTCATATAATACTGCATTAATTAGATTATATTTGTCTTCAATATTTAAATATTTCCTTTGATTTTTCTCATATTGCAATATTTGCTTCGTGTTTGCTGGCAAAATATATCCAATTGATATAACTTTCGAGGGGAGTCGAAACATACCAGTAATACAAGCAAATACTTCGGATACTTTTCTAGTATATACCGACTTTTTTTTTGTTGATCTGAGTACTGCCTTCCGTACAGAGCATAGAAAACTGTTTTGGCCGTAAAAATGTCTTATCGTTTTCATACGAATATCAACACTGATTCTGTTCGCGAGGTATTTTTTTTCGGATCTAAGTACTAGCCCTTAAACAAATCCAAGCAGCTCTCTGAGCAGTGTAACCGTACGGAAAGCAGTGCAAACCTCTGGCCACACCCCTGACTGCTAGAAGAATATATGACATTTGTTTGCTGGCAAACAGTTTTTGGATCTGAGTACTAGGCTTTATTGGAGATAATTTATAAAAGATTTCCAATATTTGAATTCCCAAATCTTTTTCTTATATTGGTTTTGATATGATTTAGTTCTGAGGGAATTCTTTCAGATGATGCATGCAGAGCCATGTCTTATTATCGGGTTAAGACTCCCTCTCCTGTCCATACTTTTGCTTAAATTCCTTACTCATTTTAATTCACTTCTTCTTTTTTTACTTGATGGCGTCTCGAAAATATGTGCTGAAGTGTAGCCTTCCGTAAAATATACCGTAATAAACCTAAAAATTGATTATATATACCATTATGTACCGATATATCCTCATAGATTGTTAACACTATTGTTGAGCTATTGAGTTATTGCGTTTTGGGCAAAACTCATTTTTTTTACATAGGTTTATCATAGGAGCTTGATGGCGTCTCGAAAATGTGTGCTGAAGTGTAGCCTTCCTTAAAATATACCGTAATGAGCCGAAAAATTGATTATATATACCATTATATACCGATATATCCTAATAGATTGTTTACAATACTGTTGAGTTAATGCGTTTTGGCAAAACTCATTTATTTTTTTACATAGGTTCAACATAGGAAGCAAGTGGTTGGCAAAAAGTTGAGTTATGGTTGCTTTTTAGTTGCGTTTGTTTGATTTTCTGATTAGTTCAACCCTGTTCGCCTATCGTGTGAACATCACCACTAGCAATAACAAAAAATCTTGTTAATAGCCTTTTCCCACAGGCGACCATCCACCATCCATTTCGTGGATGGTCCGTAAGGTTTTACAGTTCCGAAAATTGCCCAGTTATGCCATCATCCATCTGGGATGCCTCACACGTTTCTAAGCGATAATTATTCGATAATTTTCAAATGCAACCATAAATATTTGACATTCACAACGAAAAGGTTCCATACACTACGCAAATGAAAGCAATGACAGACAGGAAAATTGTAAGCAACAACAAATCATCTGATTTGCCAGAATTGTTTCAGGACCAAAAACTCGGTTTGTGGACTATCCTCTGGGAAATCTTATTCTCATTGTTTTCAACCAGATTTCCATTCCAATAAATTCTCCTCGTCAATATTGGCCTCATCATCATCCATGTCCAGGAACATGTTTATATTGTGCAAGGATATATTTTGGTTTTGAATCACATTCACAACCATTAAAATATTATTAATATTCATTGATTCATTCTGCTATTAATGAATGGTGGATGTTAGATGGTGCCAATGGGAATCGGTGTTTGAAATCTTTTAAATATACCCACGGGATGGTCTCAGTATGCAGAGGGTACTAGGTGCGAGTTTTTTATAAACCTATTTGGCTTTACAGGACATTCTAGACTTATGGAAGATGGTGGGCGCCCAGTGGGCGCTTTAACACTTTTTTGTGTGCCTTATGACACTACAACGCCCGAAGCTAATACAAATTATATACTTATATTAAAAAAAGCAATTCATGTTAAAATTCAGTTATAAGCCTCCCTTAATCCTAAACTATTGTAAAGAGAACTTTAAGGAATGGGGCACTTATGCTTTGTCTGAACTGTTTAATGCGGAAAAGAGCTGACATCCCGCGATTTTTTAGAAAAAAATATTTTTGGCTGCATCCAATTGCAAATATATGTTGAAACTGTATATTGAATTTATAATTTATTGGTAAATTTGTATATGACTTTTAACTATTTATCTGCAATATGGGCAGAGCAATAGCGATTTATTGGAACATTGTTCCAAAGTTTTTTAGCACTCAGTGTAGAGGTGTCAAACCATCAAGTGCACTATAGATAGTATCGACGTTTTGTTGCTAGCCGCTACTATCGTTGGTTTTGCGACTATCATGTATCAAGCTACAGTTGTTGCGCTCTAAAATCCGAAGACAAAGTGGTAAACAAATCGACTGCTGGCATCAAATTTGTACAATGGACAAGTTCCTAAAAGGTTTCAATGGTACGTAAGATATGCACAATATTATAGAGCATATTTTGAATTTTTTATATCATTTACACATGCATTGAAAAACATCAGCAAGGAAAATGCGGAAAAAAAGCATCGAGGTCCAAGAAAGGGAGCAGTTTGGTAGACAATGCGGAACAAAATATCCAACAATGCGGAAACTTGGCTTAGGTATAGTGTGGGACTGTTTCGAGAAAAGTCAGGATGGGAAAAAAGCAAAGTGCCGCTTTTGTCGGAGATCTTACAAAACCAGTGGCAACACCTCGAATCTTCTCGATCATCTGAAGCGCGCTCACCCCTCTTACAGCGATTTAATAAATAACAACGAAGTGAGTTCTATTAAAAAATATGTAAAAGCACCTGAAGTGTACGACAGTTCTTCTGCTCGTAAGAAAATGTTGGACCGTGCTTTGATGCAAATGATTGCTCTCAACGTGCAACCATTTTCAATCGTTGAGGACGCCGGATTTCGCAATTTGTTGTATCGTCTGGACTCACAGTATGTCTTACCGTCGCGGATGTCTTACCGTCGCGGAATACGATGCAGAACGTGCATATGAAAAATTTGTATACGGAGTTAGTCGAAAAACTACAGAATATTTTATACAACGTAGATAGCTGCGCCGTAACAATGGATTGCTGGACCTCGAGGGCCAACGATGGGTACTTGACTGTAACCATCCATTTTATAGACGAAAAATTCGATCTCAAAAGTGTAGTGTTGTGAACCGAAAAGCTAGAAGATCTCCCTAATCATTCTTCAGAAAACATTGCAGATATTTGCGCAAGGTTTTATGTAATTGTTTTTTATTTGACAAAGTTGTTGCCATAGTAACTGACAATGCGAGATCCATGTTAAAGGCATGTGAGATTCTTGAAAAACGCCACCTACCCTGCTATGCCCACTGCTTGAATTTAGTGGTGCAAGATTGCTTGGCCCAAGAATATTTGAAAACACTGCTGTTGAAGTGCAAGCGAATTGTTACATTTTTTAAAAGTAGCACGATTTTTATTCCCGTACTCAAAAAAGAGTTAAGGGGTATATTCAGGGGTGCCACAGAAATCACTAGTGAAATGGGAAACCGCGCAGAGGAAATCCTCCTGACCCCAGAGGAAATCCTCTGCGCGGTTTCCCATTTCACTAGTGATTTCTGTGGCACCCCGCGACGCTTTAAAATTTCCGCCGTGCCAGAGAATTCCGAGCGATTTCATTTTTCTTAGCATTGTCACAAACCAAATTCGAACTAAGGCTAGGGTTGACACCTTTCAAGATTCAATTCGAATAGGGTCTATTTGCAGTTTTATTGATTTTAGCATTTCAAAACAATTGGTTTTTAATTTTTTCCTTCTATGATACATATAAAATAATGGATTTTTCAAAGCTGTACTCTTATAATTTCAAAGCAAAAAAAACATCCCATATCGTGCGAGTAAAACAAAACAATGTACTCGGCCACTCTAGCAGTTGTCTGGCAACTCTCCGTGCATGGCAGCAATCAGCTGTTAAAAAAAAGAGACATCTGAATTTTACGGTAAACTTAATTAAAATGCCTTTAACGAGACTGTTGGCCATCGAAGAACTACGGAGGCAACATATTAGAATACAGACGTTGCAGCTCAGGCTTCTCAGATGCGCATCGGACTCGTTTTCACGTTCAGACGATACGTATGTGGCTTTTGTGATTGTCTTCTCAAACTACTGCTAATTTAGTTCATTACAATTACCAATTTTTGGTATAATGATCGCTTTGCTTCTATTTGTGCTGCCATGGGTCTGCGCTTAGCCGAACAGGGGTTTTTGACATAAATGACATAAAGATGTAGATGGCAATGGCAATAATGTGTAGAAATGGTTTGTTAGTTTTGTTTTGGCATTTTGAAGCGATGCCACCTGGTAGAACTACAAATGACTACAAATGTTTACACAATTTCACAAAAAGTATGCACACGTTTGACGTAAAGGAAGTTTTACTACAAGGAGCTATTTTTTGTAATGCTTAATTAAAGAAAAACAGAATAATTTCAATATAATTAATATTAAATATATTGCTCCGAATTCGACTTAAAAATTAACTTCGAAAGTCCGAATCGCCCTAGGTGGCCACCTCGCTTTGCAGCGGATTGAGAGCGGAATCGTTAAGTGAAAATTCAGACAGCGGATTGAATAGTGATTTGCTAATATGCTTATTTTATTAACTCAGCATGTGTAATGTTAAATTATTTGGATGATTGTTAACCACCAATTGAACAACCTTTATGGAAAAGTAAGATTCGAATCGTTTTAGGTGTGTTTTTTGGGTGTATTTAATCAAATCGCTGGATAAAATGTGAGCGATTTTGATTCCGCTGAAAAATCGGTGTGTGGCACGGCGGAATGGAATTGAGGTGATTTTCCAGCGGAAGTGATTTCTGTGGCACCCCTGATTAGATTTGTGGTAAAAGTGGATGTGTGTAACGCAGAGAAGGAAACGTTTCCGACCCCATAAAGTATATATATTCTTGATCAGCATCAATAGCCGAGTCGATGTAGCCATGTCTAACTGTCCGTCTGTCTGTCTGTCCGTCTGTCTGTCTGTCTGCCGTCTTGTTGAGCGCTTAGATCTCAGAGAGTATAAGAGCTAGGGCAACCAAATTTGGTTTCCAGACTCATGTGATATCACACTGCTACAAGTGTATTTCAAAATTTCGCCACGCCCCCTTCCGCCCCCACAAAGAACGAAGATCTGTGGCAGGCACATTTTTAAAGATATGATAAAACTAAAACCGTAGTATCGTAGAGAATGACCATATCTACCAGATAGCTGAATCTGAATCAGATCGGATCATAATTATAGCCAGAATGAAGAAATTTTTTTTCAATTGCTTTCCCCGCCTCCACCGCCAAGAGACCCGCTACTCATTCTCTTTCTTGCTCGCACACTCTGCCGCGTTCAGTGCGCGAGCAACCCCTAGCGGAGGAGAATCTAAATGGTACATGTGTAATCTACATGTTAGATGTATAATATACATAATATATGTAGATGTAGATAACAGATGTAGCAAAAAAATGTAAAATGTAAAATTTTTTTTTTTAATTCTGAAATTCTAAAAAATCATATGCTCAAAAATGTAAATGCTGACTGAGTACGGGTATAAGTAGAGTCGCGTCCCCAGAAGCGACTCGCACGTTCCTTCTCGTTTTATATATATTTTTTTTTTTTATGGTTATTACGGAATTTTATTTATCAAATCTTCCCTATTAGAGACTTACGACTAGTATACAAATCTTAGCCTAATATATTTATTTAATTAATTACCCTTCTTGGGCACTTGAAGCGACTTAATATGGCAGTATCATCAGCAAATGTCGAAGTTGTTGTTAGGCTGTTTGTCGGTAGATCTGCTGTGAATATGATATACAGTGTCGGTCCAAGCACGCTGCCTTGCGGTACACCAGCTTCAATTGGATGATATTCAGAGAGGAAATCTTTGCATCGTACTGCGAAACTTCAAATGCATTTCGTATCTCAGAGGTTATACGGTTTACTTGTTCAATGGTTCCGTGTTTTTCGCGAAATCCAAATTGGTGAGTCGGGATGGCACCGTTTATGTGTAGGTGTTGTTTGATACGATTCAGGAGCAGCTTTTCAAATATCTTTGATAGGCAAGGCAGTAGGCTGATAGGTCTATATGATGATGGCTTGGACTTGTCTTTTCCGGCTTTATGGATGATTGTGATGACTGATTTCCTCCATTCTTGAGGATAATACACTGCACAACTCGGCAATTCTATGATCATTTTAGTAGAGATGAAATCGGGGCCCGGAGCTTTCTTTTGCTTTGAGATTTGGTCTTTTTGACCGTTGTGACTTCTCCTGAATGGAATATGATAGGCGGAGTAGCTTCGGGATTGTTGGTTGGTGGGAGCACAATGCTTTTTGTTGCTGGGTGTGGTTTGAAGACGTTTTCTAGATGGACGGCAAATGTATTTTGTCTTCTCTATGTTGCTGCGTTGCCCACTCTCCTGTTTGTGTACGCAAAGGTGATTCACTCTCGATTTGTGGGCATTTGTGATTTTGCTTTCCACAGTGGGAATCGTTTGCTAGTTGGGGAGTTTCTCCATATAGGATATTTGAGTTCGGTTTTTTTCATCTTCTAGGGCTCTGCGTAGTAGGGGGTTGGCTATTTTTAGCCGCTCTTTCGAGGCAGGTGATATGTGTGCTTGCCACTCTCTGCTATCGCATAGCAGCAAATCAATGTGCCTAGAAATACGACTGCTGTTGGAAAGTTTATTAGATGCTATTATTGGTGTTGAGTGTTTTGCCGCCAGTGACATTGAGGATACCAATGCTTCGACTGACCTATCAATGTCATCTTTACAATTAATGTTTGGGCAGCTATCAATATGAGAGCTTATGTACTTCCTGTATTTGAGACAATCTGTTTTGCTAGAAGTTAGAAAGTGTGGGCGTTCCGAAAGCTGTGGATGGTCGTAAAGGTGAAGTAGAATGGGCGAGTGATCGGATGATAGATCTGTTAAGTGATCTACATTAATCTTAGCTTGCAGCACCCTTCGTGTAACTGCAAAATCAATCAAGTCGGGTTGCTTGTTTGGATCTGTGGGCCAATATGTGGGCTTGCCCGGAGAGATAAAGTCTAGCTTGTTTCGTGGGGTTATTATAGCGTTATATAGTTGTCTTCCTTTCGGGTTGGTAAGTCTAGATCCCCAATGGGTGTGTTTAGCATTGTAGTCACCAGCTGCTATAAATCGGTCACCTAGTAGGTCGAAGAATGTTACAAATTCTGTTTCGGAAATGCAGAAGCGTGGTGGGCAGTATACTGCGGCTAGGTTTAGGTAGCCGCTCTGAATTTCAATATGAAGGTATGAAGGTGTAGCAAATGAAGGCAATGGATAATGCCCAATGCGATTCTTGATCAGAACGCCAGTACCTCCATGTGCCTTACCATCGGGATGATTTGTCGCATAGAAGTTATAGCCATCGAGGTGAAAATAGTATGTATTTGTTAGGTGAGTCTCTGATATGAGCATGGCGTCAATGTCGTGTTGAGCGAGGAACTGTAAGAGCTCGCATTTGTGCTGCGAAATGCCATTTGCATTCCAGAAACATATATTTAGACAGGACATTTAAACAGATTTCTGTTTGATTAGGAGCTCCAGGAGGAGATTTTGGTTGCGCATAAGCTCCTGCATTGTTGTATTGCTACCATTGTGTTAGTTATAGTTACCAGCATTGACTCAATTCCACTAGGCAATTGGGATGGATTAGCAGGGGTATGTGGGCAGAGATTTATGGGATCTGATTTGATGCCTGATGCTGCATTATTCCAGCTGTGGTTGGTTGCAGTGTCAGCCTAGAGACTGGGCGTACGACCCGTTGTTGTAACTTAACGCCTGAGCAAAAGAAACTCCAGGAGTCGTAGTTGATGGTATATATGGTAGGTTTTGTCGGACGACCGGGTTTCGAGCTGCAGTTATGTGTGGCCCAGGGTTTTTGCACTGATGTGGATTAAAGCCCAAGACGACGTTAGTTTTATAATAGTGGTAGTTGTTGTAACTTTATTTAATATTATGGGAATTGGCTTATGATTATGTGTATTTAATATGTCGTGTGTGTAACTTAATGTGTAGTGTGTGTGTGTAGTTCGCGAAACTCTGGCACCGACTGACTCTGACTCTCGCTTGCTTAACCCTAGAAACCTCCTGCTCTAATTGATCTCTCTCCTTTGCTCAAAAAGGGCGTTGCTCAATACTGGCGGCCACTTCGAGTCGCTCTCTGCACTGCCGGCCCTATCCCGATTCCTACATTCGGCCCTCCTGACGCTGGATTCGCCCCGAATTCCTTCATGTACTCTGCCACACTCGAAGTCTTACAAGGTCCTTCTCCATCCCCGACCTTCTCTACGTCATACCTTCCATGCTTATGGACTTTCACCACTTTGTATGGTCCTAAATACTTTCCTTTCAATTTTAGCCCCACCCCGTACTGTGTACGCTTAATCGCTACTAAATCATTAACCTGGTACTCTTTTTCTACCTTTCTTTTCTTATTGAATGCTAATCGAT